TTGAAATTCAGTGAAACGAAAAGCGTTGTCGTTTGGATGTTGAGATTCTTCTTCGCAGTCTTAGACAACATCAGAGTGCTGGCTTTTATGATAATGACCCAAGAAACTGCCTAATTATAACAGTACGTCTACTCTCGCCCGTCAAGCTACTGTAAATATCCTTCCGCAGCGGTTACCGGTACCTAATTATGAGTGGTCCGGCACAAAACAAAATAGTGTTACCACGGGAAATTGGTCAGTTGTCGAGATATTGGTGTTGATTGAATTCGACCCTGCTTTTTATCAAAGTCAAACTCTAATGCAATCACAAGTTTCCCCAGTGTTGATCTTACATACTGCATGTCCTTTCCTCGTAATCCTGGCCGATCTATCTACAAAATCATCATGCACATGTGTTGACCATGAAAATAACAGGGAATCCTTGACAATGAGATTTCATTTAGTAGTTTGAATACTAGGCTCTTGAAGTCTTATTCACCATTTATTGGTATAGGATAAGGGGCCATGCTCAGAAATGTTTTGGGGACATCTGGTTGTTCTTTAAATTTTTCAACTTTGACATTTTCGGGTTTAAAATGAAAGAACGCATGAATGAAAAAACAAATAACGTCTGTGTCTTTTTATGCGTATTAAACATATTACTGTATTTTTCAATCACTTTATGTTAAAACTATATTGCAGCTTGAAAGGATTGATTTATCTGTGATTTTTTTCATGTGCATTTTTCTTTAAAAGTTACAGGGTAATTAAGTTGAAATTACAGGCCGACAAAAGACGAATGACTGAAAATAAGGGAGAGAAGTTCTAAACATTTCACTGACTGATAAAATGCTGAAGACGTGGAATAAAATGTTAATGTGAGAAGCTGTGTGGTGCAAAAGGACACAGCAGTCTAAAAACTGATCGAAAATTGACGAAGGATGCGGAGACTGGTGAGTATCTCTCAGACACGTTCTTTGTAATTTTTAGGGTAAAATATATTTCATGAAATTCTATCAAAAATTTGGATTTTTTGTGCGATAACTGTGGCAGTTTCTCATTTGAAATAAAGTGATATGTGATCATCTTCAGTGAGAAATTTACAAAGCAAACTCATTTTTATTAATATTGGCGCTTTTATTACCTCTGCGCTTTGTCCTCGTACATTTACTTTTTTGGTTGTCTTACTGGCCTCCTTTGCCCCCTTTGCCTCCCGTTGAGCTGGAATTGTTGGAGTTACCAGGGCCTTGCCCTTGCTGTGTTTGTCCATGGACTAAACAAGACCAACATAAGGGATTTTCTTTCATAGTCATTTTTCCCCCTCTGAATAGTTTGCTTGAATATTTTATCCGTTGTGCACGAGTGGAAATTGTCCATAAGTTGCAAATGAAGCATTCTTCTTATTTTGTGTTATGTAGGAAACAGAGACTGTTTTGAAGAGAAATGTATGTTACTCACCTTTTTCTTGTGGCTCTCGAAGGCGCGAACCAGGAGTGTGCAATCCAGGCGGTTGATTGAATGTCTTTTTCGCTTGTTCTTTTTTTACGGAATCCTGTGTTTCTTTTTTGTCTGGCATGCTGACTTTGCACACGAGTAATATCACTGGTTTGCAGAGAAATGATAATTTCCGATTCGTGTGTGGATCCAGAACGTACGTGGACGTTGCATTTTATGTTGTATTTTCAGATTTTTCTTTGAAAAGGGGCGGGTCCAATTGTCGTATTCATCCGCGCTTACGTCAGGGTGTAGCTCACATTTAATAAGCATATTAATATGGTGTTATCATAATTACCTTTCTTTAAAGATGTATAATATCAACAAAGTGTATTTTGTTGCATTGTTACACTCTTTTTAGCCTGTTAAGATGTTGGAGAGGTTTTGTGAATGAAATATCAAACTGCCCCCGTACGTGCATATTCCGTCTGCCTTTTCGGCTATTGCCAAGTGATCAAGTTACACACAAATATGAGCTAAGCGACTGTGATAGGGCATTTAAGAGGTCTCACAACATCGATAACTCACCCAGTGTACATTCAAACGCATATTTCTTTTAGATATATTGGCGAATAGGGAATTCCTTGATTATGTTTCTTTCCTTGTTCTAACCCCATTTGCAATCCAGCCATTTTTGTGACATTTATTATCGACTATAGGCTTCTGCTCCAGTGCTACATGTACATGTGCTTTCGAAAATGTGTCAACCCAAAGGAACTCTAGAAATTGGAATGATGTTGGCCTCTGCTTAAATCTGATTTAAAGACTCTCTAAAGGAACTGTCACCAATAGATTATTTTGCATAGTGGCATTATTTATTACTACTGTTATTCTTTTCAGATAATGCTGATGGTTAGCAACGGTGCTTAATGTAATTAAGTTGAACAGTTCTTAAAACGTTTTGTCTATGTACTGCGTCACTGTAGTTACATCTGCGGATTTCACGTGGTTTTTAATGAAGTGTAAAAGGGGCGGTTCATGTGAGTCGCAAAAAGCGGTCAGAACTTTTGGTTTGATTTTTTTCGTAATATGTTAGATCTGTGTTAACATACATTGTTAATACGCCTACCAGTTTTTTCCCTAAATTTATTTACAGGTCATCAATGCTCTGAGTAAAATTATTTAATGTTGATCTATTGTATGCCTCAACCAAAAAGTACACTATTTTTCTATTCTCCTGTAACTCTACTTTTAAAAACATGTACATTTGATTAAAATGACTGCATTGACGCACAGTTTATGGCTGCTTCCCGACGTCTCATTCCTACATATAGCTTCTGACATTTCTTCATTCTTATCAGTAGTTCCTTTAGTAATTGACTTAACTTTTCGATACTGTTTAAGGTTATAGCCACGATTTGTCAAATTATGTGCTCTCTTGAATGTGAAAGACTGAAAATCACTTAAAGGTGTCCCTGTGAGCATCTTTCAAAAGAGTTTGTTTTAGAGGGGATTTTATTATCCCCAGAAGGACCTCGGAATCCGCACTCTTATCAATGAGAGAAAAAAATTACTATTTTGTCCTCCATATCACTTGTCATGGAGTGGTTTGTCACTCTTTCGCATGGAGAGCTTGATGTATGGCAGTTGTAGACTCAAGTCATTCCCATATCCTTGTAGCATTGTACAGTACATGTATGTAGCTCTTATAGTAATCGGTTTCCCATGAATTAATCGAGACTTAAGGTATTACATGTTTCTGTTCCTTCTAGCTCTCCAAATTTGGAACAAACACATACGTTTTACTTAAACGCGTGGATGAGCTGCTGGTCTGTCGCCATTGGACAGTAGAACAGCTTATGGACATGGTGAGTTGTGCCCATTCGAAACTGATCCTGCATGCCTGTAGACGGGAAAGAGGAGAAATCATTGATGGGAAAGGGTGAGTGCCCTTGGTTTGCCCAAGTGCAGTGTAATACAAGGTGATATTGCATACTTGTGTGTGAAGGAAGATATTTTTCTTTCCTTTCAAGCGCATTCTTTGGAGGTTATTTTGTGTGCATTCGGATATACAGTTTGAAAGTAGAAATTGTAGGCGCTATTTCATTATACATTGTCTGATTGACGTTTTTTCAGCTTCAAGCTTTACTTTGAAAATGTGTTCAGTGTTTACATACATGTACCTGTCTGTTTTGTTTTCCGTTTCCCGCGTCTTCTCTTTTTAACTCTCTGTCCTCTCTGATTCCTTTTCCTTGTCGGAGGGGATTTCTCTGAAACGTAACCATGTAACACATTCACTACCTCACATGTATACAAGTATTCGAAACCAGTCGGAGGCATTTTACTCCGTGAAAGTAACACCGAAGGCGAGTGATTTCATTCAGAGGGCAATAGTTTCGATCTGAACTCGTTTGCTCTCAGGACATTGTGCTAGAGGGTTTGTTCTTAGCGCCAAATTATATGCTGACCTTGTTACTCAATTTAATTGTAACGTTGCAGATTGGATGTAGTTCCTCCTCAAACAAAACCTGTTCTAAAGTGGGCAGTTAAGCAAAGCTTTCATATTTTGAATCATTTTAGAATTTGAACATGTGAATTCGCCTTACACATTGATCTGAGTTTTGATTGACATTTACACAGTCCTACAACAACATAGAAAATATGAAGCTTCCCTGAGAATAATGGAAGAATCCTCTGCCACTTCCAGTCAGTCGAACAACTGCCATAATCGTTGGTGCCCGCAAGTTAAGCTGCTTCTCATATGTCAACTTCCAGGGTAGACCGTTGCAGTAACTCTCACGAACAATTGTAATATTCATGCCTGAATAATATAGGTTATTCAGTATCTCTTAATGAATTGACCGATTTGATTTTAGAGTGCGCGTATTTCCAGCAAGGGTTCAAGATTTCAATTGTAGCCGAGGCATCTGTATGACACCTTTCGGACAGCTTTGACGCATGACGAGGTCTGGCCTGTACATGTGAAGATAATACATGATTGAAATATTGCAGCCTTATCTTAAGTTTGATGAGTATGAGTTTGAATGGAAGATGTTTGCAAGGATTCAGGATTGCAAGGGTCAGCGGCTTCAAGATTTGTTCTTAAAGCATTTACATGTAAAATATTTAAATGTTCGTTCTGAAGGAAATGTCAGACGAAGCAATTCTAAAATTTAGTTTTCAGGATTTTTTAGGCAAGAAGGTCTTACAGTGTGACTGTGATATGCAATGTAGCACTGAAGGTTTTTCAATATTTCCAATGAAATTTTGTCTTCCCCTCAAAGAGGAGTAAACAAAAAAGTATACATGTATTACCAAAACCGCGAGGTATTGAATTGCTATGTTTAGTACAATAGACAAGACAGTTTACAAGTTGCCTGAGAATTTACTCCGTACAGACAAAAAACACACCTTATTTCCTATTCTGCAATGCTTGTATCAAGTGAACTTTATTTTGTAATCCATAAACACATGACAGGCACACAAGGGTTGACTAAAAAATTCATGGCCAGTAAGTGAACGTGGCATAAAACAAGTAGAGTGTAGTTGCTTAAAAGTGAAAATATTTTCGATTTCCGTATTGTCATTCAGAAGGGCTTCTGTTGGTTAAGTTGAACTTGCGCGTTGATATGTACATGTATCTTCTTTCGTCAGAACATTCATCTTTGCGTCAGGACCCCCCCCCCACATTTGCTTAGTCATTGACATTTTATAACATGAACTTTTTTGAGAATTATGAATGTTTACCCGGTTCTTACAGAGCGATAAAGTCCGTCTCAAAGTTTAACTTTCGAAAGTTCCCAGTAGGACTACTGGATGTGCTAGAAGAAGCAGAATAACTTGGAAACAGCTTGTTTAACCGGAGCGTTGCTCTGATGTGTTCCCAAGACATGCACAGCTTTCTGAGTATGAAGAAACTCCCGTCCCTTCAAATAGTCCATGGATTGGATGGCGCCTGGTTGAAATAGTGTTTCAGTGAAGGGTGAATCTCAGTCAAAAATTGCGTGCTGATGTGAAGGCTTTCTTTTGCTTTTCGTCTGTGATGATTACGGTGTACCTGTTACCATGGTGTATGGCTGCTACACTCTTGATGGCCATCCACGTTTTCCCAGACCTCTGGAATGTTCCAGGTATTGGGTGTTCGTTATTCTTCTGCCACTGGATGTGAACGTTAGTGTTGGCTTCATACCGACATTTCAGTTTAACGCTTTGTCCAGCGTTGACGTGTTGGTCGTACAGAGTTGTTACAACCGGATCTGAAGATTGAAAATACATGTAGAGTTTTATAATGTTGTTGACTTGAAGAATAAAGACAATGCTTTTACTTACTTTTATTTCGTATTTTTTTTATTTGTCCGAGGACAACTTAAATTTACTATTGTGGAAGGAAACGAGATGTATTTTGCTGTCGTTTTGTAAGTATTTTGAATTTAACTCCAACATCGAAATGGAGCTTAATTTCTTGGTAATGTACAAGCAGTCACTGGGCACTCTTTGATTCGGCGACCGGAGACTTTAAGGAATTTCATAGAGGCTTAATTCTGTACCAACCTGTTTGCCATGGCTCTCTAATTGTCGAGTTAAGTAAGCTTCGACTAACCCAGTAGTGCTCTTCTGTCTCAGCAGCCATACTCGTAGAAATCGCCAGAACAGTGCTGTTAGAATATCTCAGCGCCACATGATCTTCGCTTTGCAATGCGCGGTTGCGTATTGCCGTGAATACAGTGAAAATTTCCAGTTGTTGCATATCCATGGCATAATGATACGCCGCAAGATGTTTGCTGTGATTCGGCAATACGTTTTCTACAGAAGAATTGCGTTTGGCCCATAGAGCTATGTATAAAAACATTGTATATTATGTATATATGTATAAAAACATTGACTATTAATAACTGCTTGGCTCACTTCAACATGCACCTTTAACATAATAGTGGTCACCCCATTGTGCTACGAATTGGTCTAAGTTTTGTCTTGCGCAAACGTTGAAAAGAAAAACGGAACAAACTTTACATGAGTTCATACAGTAGCCTATATACATGGAATTGGAAAACCGGCCAGCGCGTTTTGTTCCGGTGTCATGGAAAGGTACCGCATACATGTATTCCCGTGGGCCTACCTCATATCCCTCGAATTGTCCTTTACCTGTAGTGTAAGCTTTTTAGCAAAAATGGTACTCTATAAGGCTCCAGATAATTCTATCTCTGGGTATGGTGCGTACGAAATAAAAACCAGAGTCCATGCGATGTTTGGTGTTTGAAATACACCCATTGTGTTTCCAACGTGCTTTTCCAAACATGGGAACAATGTTCATACAAAGTCGTGGTTATGAGTCAGGCCTGTTTAACTTTAAGAGCAACAGAACAGATCAGTTGAACGAAAACACATCACACTACAGGGAATATTCTGAACTTTCACGTATAAGATTTGAGATTGAGATTTAAACAAGTACATGTAGTAAATGGGAATATGTTCCCATTGCAACTATGTTCCCATTTCCAATTTAATACAAAATTAGTATTTTGTTTGTACGTGTACGTAAATGCACTTCTATAATCGGAGCATCCAAACGATTATTAACTTCTTTTCCTATTAAAGCAGAAATAACCTTAAATAGATGTATGCAATTCAGCTCGTATACATACATGTAAATTTACTTTGAACCCAGCCTTTAACCTTTTTTCTTAACATGATTTGCGTGCCCTTAGCTATCTATTCTAGTTAAAGCAGCTGTCAGTACCCCCATTTTCAGCTATTTTATAAGTCAGTTTTCAAGCAAAAGTTGTTTAGTTGGGAAGGTTGTTGATTTTCAGTTATTACTTTCCTTGCTTTTTTTATCAAGATGAGGATAAAATTCATGTTTAAAAAAATTCTTTTGTAGTTTTTCAGCTTGTTTGAAATCCCATATTAAATATGTTTTCGTTTGAATTGTTAACAATTCAGTTGTAAGTTCCAAACTGTATTCCAGCTCCTTAAATAACGACAGGTTCGTACTTAGTAAGTTGTACCAAACAGTAACTTCTCACAAAAAATAGATTAAGCGTACCCTCTTCCAATTTCCGTTCACCCATAAAAGCAAGAATCAGTACTTGAATCTTTGGATGAAGCATGTTGAATTTAATCCCTAGGTTTAGATTATGATTTTGAATGCGAAAATTTCTTGAGAGAGGAAGTGCAAGCTGTCCATAAAGTCGGGTAGGATACCCAGCACTGGGGAACATACTGCTCATGCATGCACTCACTCCAGGATGTTTCACCTGTTGGATGAGAAACAGAGCGTGGTCAGTGTGTCACCAGTGAGCTTGGAACTTGCAAGTAATGATGGAAATCTACAGTGACGTAAATTTGACCTGCAGAGATTAGAATCGGGGCTCGAACCCAGTTTTAGATTTAATGAAACTGTGTAGCACGGCATCTGAGGCACCCTGTTCTTTTTGTTTATGCCGTGCTGTCTTTCAGTATTTGGCGACTCTGGTGGTCTAATAACATAACACAGAGTTGAGCAAGTCGTGATCTCACCTGTTGTAGTACTGGGATGTGTTTAGCGTTACTCGTCAGAATCACTGCTGCTGCTGCTCTTGCTGCCAAAGTCACGACGGACTTTGATTTTGGAAGAAGACGAGACCTGGCGACCCCGCCAGTCAGTCACAGAAACACTGTATTTCTTCTTATGATGACAGTGTTGAACGTTGTTGATGATAAGAATGCTTTGCCCGGTATGATTATCTGGAGATATCTGGCGCAGCAAAGAAAGTAACAGAAAAGAGTGGAATTTGTTGTGTCAAACAAAACCTCACGATGAGTTTAGTCCTTTCTGTCTTTGTGTGTGCTTTTTTTTTACCTAGATTCTACTTGGTTGGAGTTGTTTCTTGCAGAATTGATGAAAAAACGGTTTGATTTCATTGATTACAATCGTTACATAAAAAGAATACGTTCAAATTCGCATTTCTATAGACTTACCTTGTATATTGTAAAGTCGTCCTTCTTCCACTCGATAGTAACTCTTGACTTGGCGCTAAACTCTGCGGCCAGTATTGTGGTATCTCCTTCGTATACTTTACGATTGTGCAATGTGGAGACCACCGGATCTGTGGGTCAAAACTTTGTGATAATTTGTGGTTGTAATGGTATTTATTAATTATTATATATGTCAGTTTACCCTGTCGTTATTACTGATGTGTTTTGTTTTACCTGACTCCGTTGGCTCCCTTTGACGGTTACCGGGCGTGCTTTTTACGATGAAAAATATTTCGTTGTCTGTTGTTTCCATGATGTTCGACATAGTAGAGGAAAATCCAAAGCACGACCCTGCCATTTCTTGACTACTGAGAGAAGCTTTTGATGTTGGCGAGAAAGAGCTGGTCTTTGATCTCCAGGCTTCGCGATACGTGTGTTACCCCCAACAGTGGTGCGAGCTCTTAAAATAAGGCGCGCATTAATATACAATTTTGGTTTAACTGGTTCTTTTGAATATTCATAGTTGTTCTGAACAAGAGTAGTTTTTTCAATGACAAGGATTAACCTTGGCCATCGTGTGCATGGAAATCGAGTACAAACAATTTGAACAATACACAAACACGTACTCTGTCCCATGAGAACCTCGTGCGCATTACTATATGTCGTACGCATGAAATAAAAGACTCCCTGAATGCATCTGATATTTTCAACCTATTTTTTTTAGATAGCATGCTACGCTTCTCAGTCTTCCAAATACTTTCAGTAGTGATATATATGATACAGAAGGGGGACCCCAAGAACGCAGTTGTTACATGCCCAGTCATTTTGAATCTTTAAAGATACTAATTGTATCAAATACAATGCTATAAATGTGAAGTTTCAATTCAGTACGGCACATTCAGTTTTTTATGTTATGTTCACCTACATGTAAGTTTTTAACTTTAAACTTGTCGGCCCGGCCGTGTGCATTGAGCACGAAATGAAACATAAATAAAAATAATGCACGTTGTGCGAGAACATCATGCTCTATTTTCACAAAATAGGTGCCAAAAAGACTATATTAATGAAAGTTCTTGTTTAGGTTCGGCACGTAAGAGAAACGGCAACGCGACAACATTTGAGAAAACGATGAGGGGTCGTTCTGTTAGGCCTAAGGTCGAAGGAACACGAGAAATTTTCAGGCCATTGCCTGACCAGAGACCGAATGCGGGGTTTCGTGAAACCCCAAAAGGGAACTTTTGCCACTGTCAACATATATTTTTTTATACAAAGGCCTATTATGATGTGCTTGGGGAACAATTAATCTCGAACCGCGACCGATGGATCCATGTAACACTTGTATTCTTCAGGTTTCATTATTCACGGCGTGTCGTAAATTGGCTTGATATGAATTAGCTCGTCGCCAAGCGAATGGTATGAACATTATTACCGTAATTTTCAGAATACAGGCCGCGCGAAGTATAAGCCACACCAAGCAAAAATCTGCAAATTAAGTCAGCGTTGAAGCCGCACCGCAATGCTGACAGTAATGTCTTGTCATCGCACGCGCTAGTACATGTAGAGTACTACGTGGCATACTTCAACGTTTTCTTGACTTTCTTCAGTGGTACTGCCGAACCTCTTTGTTCAGCCGAACCTCTTTGTTCAAAACTTCAAATCCACTTGGATAAATAGTAATACTGTTGCCTTCATGATACAGACTTTTGAACCTTCGTTAATTTCAATGACATGAAATTTCGTCCGAAATTCAAACACGTCATCGTCCGGAAATTGGACAAGAATTCAGCTGAGTGTGGCCTGTCGCCCTTGAAAAAATCTCAGAAAATCCCATAAAAATTCTCCAGTTTTATAAATTGATAAATTCTAGTAAATCAATGTTACTTCCACTCACTTTCCTGACAAAAAAATTGTAAAAAGAAATTAAAAAGGGAGCGCCTTTAAAATAGTTCATTTTGCGCTTCAAAAAAAAAAAAAAAAATCAGAAAATGAGGCCAAAATAAAATTTCACTAGAAGTTTGTAGGGGGCCCATGTATATGATATCGACATTAATAAAGCAGAATATTTGGAGTTTTATTAAATTTCACCTTTTGTGAAATTGGAGAATTTCGGGTACGTAATCTTCAACTGTAAGCAGTGCGCGCAGGAGTGTTGTCATTAAACCTAAACTTTCTCAAGTCCTCAATTTGGCTACTTTTTGGCGGGCTGGATTAGTGTCGTTGGTGGACCATGCAGCAGTTTTTTAACATTTAGTAGTGAAATGATAAATATGGATTGCACAACCTAAAAAGACATAAACAGATGTACAGACGTACCACACGATTTGTGAGGTGTGAACGCTACTTATGGTACACTTGTAAGTCTATTCAGTCTCTCTATACTGGTTTCCTTCATTTCCAACACGTGAGTAGAGATAATGTAAACGGCAACCAACGAAAACATGACTGCCTTGTCATCGCACCCAGAGCGTTGCGCCTCTTGCACGCGTAGTAGTCGGCCGGCCGGCCGACCACGGCGGCCATGGCTTCGCTGAGGCACGGTGCGACGTTCAGTGACTGATTTCATTCTTCAAATATTGCCGTATATATAAGCCGCCCAGAGTATAAGCCGCAGAGATATTTTCAGCGTGAGAATCAACGTAAAAGCTGCGGCTTATTATCCGAAAATGGCGGTATATTAAAATTATATATTTATAAAGTAAACAAGCAAACGGGCCTGATTTTGTTAAATTATGTTAAATGATTTCAACTCTTGACTCTCTAACAAGGCCAAAACACTGGATGACTTATTTTTTTCCGTTTTTGTCTATCTGGCTTTATTCTTTAATCAGATTGCACAAATAGTCATTAGAAGATTAAAACGAGAAGAAATAACACCATACATTACAGATGCGTAAAACATAAATCATATGCTGTCTATCGTGGATTTCCTGCTAAATTTCGGTTTGAGAAGGCAAGTTATGAATAAGTTCAATTTCGAGCGTGGCTGTAATTTATTTTTAGTAGATGAGATACTGACCTTCCTTAAGCTTAGGCCTAAATTTTCAGAGCATTCTAAGTGTTTAAAGAGTGGAGATGATTCTTCTGAATATATACATGTAGAAATTTTTGTAGAAGCCAAAAATTGATTAGACAAAAATTTAGGGAAACTGCCATTGTATCTAGTTATAAATATTTTCCAAGTTTTCCTATAAAAATGTAAGACCCCTCTGGAGTGGGGATTGTTGAATTCCCTAGACATCTACAGAATCACGTGACTGCTCGGTTAGGCTGTTTGTTTGTTATTATCAGTAGTATTTGTGATTCCTTAGCAACAACACTTAAAGAAGTACGACTATAATGCTACTTCCCAAGTGCCATAAAAGTACTTTGAAAACATCATTAATTCTTTGTTGAAATGCACAGCCAATATGAGAACAGCACTGGTTGTGCACCTAATGAATGAAATTTCATTAATGTAAAACATACAGCAGAGACTGAATATGATGCACTTAGTTTATCATGTAAGTATCATGTAAGATCTTTAGTCTCAGGCTCACGACATCGATGGCGGTTGTTTCAGGCCATTGTAAGGTTTCCTGTAGAAGTGCCATAGTCGATAAGTTTGTCTGTAGGGAGAATTAGAATTAAATCAAGTCTTTAATTTTCGAACATTGAGTCAAGCATTATTGAAGATCCCAGTATCCATGACTTATTTCATCTAACCAACAACCATGCACTGGCATGTGAGAACTTACCCTTAATTATATTAGGTACTCTCGGATGCAGAGATCGGTGGATGCTCTGCCTCTTCGTCCACGTGCGTCGGTGACGATCAGATCGTAGCGTCTCTTGTGGTGAAGGTATTGAGCGTTAACGATATCTACTCGGACACGTCCTGAAGGTGGCATGTTGTTGCTGCTGCCTATGGCGGCTCCATCCTTGTGCAGTGTGATGGTAACAGGCGTTCTCGCTGCATACGTAAACTCAAGTTGCGTGCTGTCGCCAAGGCTAACAAAATGACGCCCGTTTGCATTCACCACAGGGTCTAAGGGTTAGAAATTGAGAGGAGAAATTCCCATGATCAGAATCTCCTAAATTTCTGAAATACGGTTCTCTACAGAGCAGCCTTAATTTAACCCTTCGAATAAACATTAAGACAGGAGAATTCTGTCACAATAAAAAAATAACATTTTGCTACACTTTTCCATTTGATCAAATGTGGATAACGGCATTCATTCACGTCGAACAAAGTTTCTAGATGAATATTTTTGTTCACAATTCTCACATGCTCACCACTTTCCAGTGTTTCCCTCCCACGTGCGCCCGTTGGTAGTCGGAAAACCTGGATTTGTTCACTCGTCTCCATCCAAAATGCCATCTTGTTGCGGGGAGTGGAGACTTTGTTTCAATCAACGAAGCGAATGTGACTTTTGGCTTATCAGACTTCTTCCACAGTGTCATAAGCCGAGTTGAAGATTTACATGTAGTTTGTACTGCGCGCTCTTTTATTTCATAGAAGAGCTGAAAAATGTCAGACCTATAAATAGACGCCAAAGGCGGAGTGATTTATACGAACCGCTTAACTGACGTGTGCATATTCCTTGTAATAGTGCCATACAATGACATGAATATTAATCAGTTGTTCATTGCGACGACTTTCAATGCAATGCTGTGTTTGTGCCTTCCGCATTCAGGTACGTATAGCAGGGATTGAGTAAAAGTACAGGGATACCTGTGATCGTCTGAACCTTTTTTTCGCACTGTCTGGTGAATCCCCCATTACAAATAGATGATGTGTTGGTTTTCGTCACAGTAAGTGAAGAGCACAAGTGCACATTACTTTCTGGAAACACAGACAGACGCTGTTCATAGTTAGTTTGAAACTCTTAGATGTTTAATTAGCATCAACCTTGGCAAACGGCCAACCTTGGCTTCCTACCAGTGTTTTATGAACAACAGTCGTAAAAACAGACAGCATTATACAAGTGGCTTTTATAAAAACAAACCAAGCTATAATACGTTTTCAGGGGCTATTCAAACTGTGGAGACATTTTTTTTCAAATTTTTCATCTCGAACAGAGTTGGTGGCCAGACGTATCCATCGTAAGAGCAGCAAGTGCAGATTTCAGTGTATGATAGTCCTCTTAATGTTATTTATTACTTGATGTTATTTAGATAAGTCAACGTGAATGTGAACCGTGGTAGTGGCGTGACTTTATGAAGCACACTTCCTTGGAGGCATTGGACCAAATGAAATATCTCACCCCCAGTTTCCTGCCAGCTGCATTCGTTTAAAACAAGGATCAGAGACCTGATTAATTTTCTTTGGTGGAGTAATGGAAAAATCACCTTGCCTTGTGTCTTCACAATTTAAAAAGGTACAGTTGGGATCTTCTGAATGGAAGATTTTTCTTAAACCCCTCTTAGCAATAGTGTAATATTTCCAGTTTCAACCAAGAGAGTCTTTGATGTATAACACGAGACTTGTAGCTGCGTTTGTCTTCCGTTGTACTTGTGACGGCATGGGTTCTGGAAGGAATGCTGTGTCCAGTCTTTTATCGATGCTTGAATACCCAGTTGCCTTTGTTGGTGTTAAGAAGTCTCACGCGTGAACTGGTATGTTCTCTGTTTGAAATAGAGAAAAGTAAAAAAAGAACAATAAACTGTCGTTTCGGTACCGTTTAGACATTCTTTTTCTTTTTGGTCGCTGAAATAATTTTTTGGTTTCAGCTTGATTTATAAATTACCCTGGTCAATCTCGAGCTTTGACCCGAAGATTCAAAACACCAGCTTATAACAATACGATATGTAAGACTACCCAAACATATCTTTATCTAGTTCAAGTTCAGCGTGAAGTTGACCCGTGTAATCTTTAGTTTATCTCACCTTGGGATGAGTGTTGATTGTTTTGTTAGATCTAGTGTCGCATGTTGAGAATGCAAGCGGTGCTTTGGGACCTGCCTCGCCTGTCCACAATCCGCACCCTGAAGCGTTTTTTGTGGTGCACGTCGCTGAAGCGGCGGATGGTTATCTGGGTCTGGCCATGGGGGATGCAGTTGTCTTGCCTGGAGATCTCTATGTCGTCCACCATCCAGGTAATAGTGACCGGAGAGGCAGCATGGTAACTGACGCCAAGGGTTACGCTCGAATCCCTAGTGACGGACTGGTCCTCTAGGGTATCCAGCGTTGGCTCTATAGAATGGCAGTTTGGGAGGAAGTCTTTCATTTATGAGCCACTTAAGGGAATTACATGTATTTTCATTAACCCGGCGATTAAGTAGAGTTTAAGAGAGGCTTGTTTCTTAAAGCTGGCATTTAGAATCGGGTGGTTTTTTGGAGATAAATGTAACACACAGTTATCGTATTGCTTGCTATCTTGATGGTTTACCTGATCCCGATGTTGTTCGTGTCGTTGGTCCAAAAGTGGGGCACGGCAAAGGATGCACGTTGACAATATCAATATCGTATGTCTCATTTTGATGGGACATTTTGGAAGTTTTTAATTACAAGCAACAAGAGTGGACGAGTCATGCGCTTGCTGTGGAGCGTTGAGAATCCAATAAGAGTCAACAGGCTGTTGAGCATGGCCTGCTTATATAGACTTCTGGAATACCTTGCATGAAAGGAACCCCCTTTGTTGAGTCATTGGGCCAAAAATGCAATCGGGAAAATCCATATGCATATGCAGTAAAGGTCAACAACACCTGCGGAGTGATATGAAAATACCAATTTAGTAAATTCTTACTCCGTTGTACACTGCATGCACATGGAACTGCATGTACATGAAGTTATTTGGGTCTGCATGTACGACAAGGCGACTGGCTTACACTTTTTCAACAGGTTTTGGTGATTTGGTAGTTTTAAAATTTGACCTCTTGACATTTCAGTTTTCGAAATTTTGCCGGGTTTTTTTGGTAATGATGATTTTGGTGATTCTGTTCATTGTATTTAGTATAATGGTTTATTTAATTTGCAGCTACATGTGGAAAAGTTTCTAGGTTGACTAACTTAACAGTAAATTTATCTGTTTGCTTACGGCCACGCAGAAATCTTGTAAGCATTGAGTTAGCTACAAATGGAAAAGTTTCTACGTTGACTAATTCATCAAAATACATGTAATGCAATTGGTTGTGCAGACACAAAATCAGCGGTCAAGAAGACGAATGTCTCGGTATTTAATTTAATTTTTCCCCCCCGGAACTACATGTGTATTTTTCTTCAGGCTTGTTCCACTTATTTCTAAAATTCCCGTCCAAACTTTTTTTCCCCAAGGCTTGGCTTGGAAACAGTTTAACATAAGGGAGCAAAGTTTTCTTGGTTCTTCATTGGCAGTTTCAGGGATATGTCCGGAGTCCTTAGTACCGTATCTTCAGCGTGCCCGCGGTCCACACGCGCCTGCCCCGCTGGTCTACAATTTCCACGCTGAAGCGTTTCCGGTGGTGTTGGTAGTCAAAATGGCGGATGGTGAGCCGTGTCTGGCCGTGGGGAACGCGGGCGTCTCGCCGCCACACCTCGGTCAAGTCCACCCGCCAGATGATGGTGACTGGCGTGGTGGCGCGGAAAGTGACGCGCAGGGTGACGCTGGTACCACGGGGAATGGACTGGTCTCGCAGGACGTCCAAAGTCGGTCCTGTCAATGAAAAGATTCTAGTCTGATTGGAAAAGGGTACAGCCAGTCGCTATTCTGAATTGTCTTTTGAGGACGTGCGAAAACATAGATGTCACTGACAATAATTTGTACCTGGCTGAGAATGTCAGAAGATGCCTAGGTCCGACGCTGAGATAAAGTGGCTGTGTGATATACGACCGTAATGAAGAAATACTATACATGTACTTTTTTGTATGTTTTCTTGTTTGGGCTTAATTTTTTAAGAAATCAGATGGAAAAGCAACCCATGTTGGAAATCATAGTGTTAACTCATTTTCCTCATCTTCCAAACGTTGATTTTTTTAACAGTGTCGATCTTTCTCCTCAGATGATTAAGTATGTTTATTATAGACAGTTTGAAGGAGTATAATCAATTTCATTTCTTGGCAGAAGGTTTACCTGATCCCTTAGGCCTTGTCAGTTTGGCTTCATAAACCAGACACGGTGCAGGATCCACGGCAGCGATATCGTAGGGTTTACGGTGGAGTGACATGGCGAGACAGCCCCGAAAATACACTCGTGTTTCCACCCCTACTTCCAATCGGGCCTCTGCTCGACAGAGACTTGGGCGAGGTTAACGTTGGATCTATGTTTTCAAGAGTCCAATCTGCATGAATTACTCAACTTTATTTCCAAAGATGGGAAGTGTTGGCACATGGAGCAAACAGCGCCATGAATCGGGGGTGTGCTTCAGTCGCATTTTGACCTCCCACCCTTGGCTGGCAGGCATTATCATGCATACCTTTCAGGGAGCCACGTGTTGTTAAATTGAAAAGAGCCCGAAGTTTACCAGAACGTACAATTCTATGGTGGGAGTGGGCAAATCTATTCTATGCCTACCAGACACTGTGTCTCCCGGGTCCAAGCTTATCGGGCCGGGTTGCGGGTCCCGTACTTCTTGTTTGCTTTGATTCCCATCCTTTTTGGGGGGTGTGTGATAGGAATAGATTTGTCTTCCTGGAAGAGGTCTGCGATGAGAATTAGTTACTGGTTATGAGTCTCATTTTAAGTTGATTTTAATTTAAAAGTACGTCACTTTCCCTAAGTCACATTTTCATGTTGGTGTGCAGCACCAACAACCATCTTCGTCCAAGGCAAACGCATTTTGTACCGGATTTTTCCAAGAGATTTTACAACCCATTTTGTAGCCCATATGAATGAAAATTAATCACGGACAAGTTTTTCTTCTCCTGGAAACAGGAGATAACCCATAGATTACACATGACCACCTTGTGATACGCGATGATAGATTGGTTGCTACTTATTGCCAGGCCCATTAAAATAACTATGTTTTGATCTGTTTCTCAAATGAAACTGTAATAGTCTTTTTATTTTAGTAGGTAGTCGACCATAGGAATGACACATACACAACCAATGATTCCATTAGCACATAGGTTACCTTAGGTTTTGAATAATTGACTTGTCATTTTAATTATTATTTATTACTAACTTTTGGCTCTTCTATATAAGAAATCAGTTCCATTATAGGTCTTATTAAAAAAGCTGACATGTACCGATTCAGACCTACTAATTTTCACGTGGTTTACTCAAAATAAGCTGTGAAAAAGAAAAGCAATTAAGCACTATGACATCAGGCTGCTGTAATCTCAGTTGTGATGGTAAAAACTAAGTGGTAGCACCCCTTTCCTTAACAACCTCTACAATGTCAAGTGTTCAGGGTCATGCTGGTCCTTGATTGAGCCCGAAGGGTATATTTCGGACACTCCGGGTGACGATGTGCAGTAGGATGTTCAGATTGAGTTTTTGTAGGCTATCTGTGTGTTTCTGGATTTAAAGACAAAAGAGAAAAAAACCATAAATGGTAGTGTGTTTATACAGAAACCACACTGAAGCTTTATACATGTACTGGATCTATAGGGACACTTTGCAAGCGAACCTCCTTAATAAGAGCACTACTTAGTGCTTATACAAGATTCTGCTTATAACAATGTAATTTTAGGTCCCGACCTTTGTTTTTCACTGTTTTAGTTCGGGATAATACAAGATTCCTATTATAACATGGTAATTTGCCAAGTCCGAATGATCTCCTATCACCGAGGTTCGACTATACATGTATTGTGGTTGGTATTTTCTTGTTTGTTTTTTGGGGGAGGGGTTATATTTGCAGAAATTCAATATTTTTTGCTGTATTCACTAACTGCGAAAACAACATCGGCAATCGTAAACTGTGAGTGCCGTAATGCTTGTACATGTAATTTGAAAATGAAATTCTCTACAGGATAGTCTCCAAGTTACTGGCCTTCAAAATGTTGAACTCGTCGAGAAACACCACACAGGTCGTAAGCAATGGACCATTCAAATCGGTGTCAGGATATAAAAGGAAATCTCACCTGTTATCGAGACATCTTAGTAAATGTTAATGCTGACTCTGCAGGAGGTGCTCATGGGATTGATGCCGTGCCTCGTGTTCATCTCTTGATCGCGTATGGTAACTTTGTACCTGCTGTCCGGATGCTCCCTAAGCCACCTGCTGCTCAATCTGAGCGAGGTGCTTGCCTGACGGACCCGATTCTTCATCTTTCTTAAGACTTCACCATCAACGCGCCACGTTATGATGACCGGGTTGTTTGCTTCGTACCCTACTTTGAGGACTACTGGGTTATAGGTGGTTTTCTGACGGTCGTTCAGAATGTCAACCTCCGGTCCTTTAACAGAAAAATGTGATACGTACGCATTTTGTACCTATGGACAGTGCCACGATTACTGTTGAGATTTTTTTTAACTCAGCGATAGCTCCAGGAGTGTGATTAAGGACACACAAAATAATATATGTACATGTACTAGCCCGAAATGTTTCAAAATTGTTCGTTGAGTCATACCTGATTCGACTACATCCCGTAGGCTGTAGGATCTCTGTCTTTTCCCTGGGAATTCCAGTGTAAATCCTTCTTCGACATCACGCAACTCTGGCATGCTGGTGTTACTTCTCGTCTGATTGCACTCAAAATGAAACGCTGCCCTCTCTCCTCTAATTGCAATTCGGTTATAGTTTCGCGTGCAGCTGTCAGCTGCTTCTTTTCCCAGTACGTGTTGTTTGTGTCCTGCTTTTCTTCGTGTCTGTTTTGGTTTACCCCTTGTGCGCAATGGATGATTCGAAAATAATAATACCCGGCCCCGGTAGAAGAGACTGCGACCAGACCTTTTACCCGGATGCTGTAGCAGCCAGTCTGATCTGATTCCAGCCATTCAGCTCAAACATTATCTTCAAAGGGTCACCGTATTGTGTCCGCTTGTAAACGTCATGGTTCTCTGATGTCACTCAGAGGAATAGGGAATGCCCTAGATTGCACACGTGCCATAGTTTGCATTGATGGGATGCTGTAATTCCTCTGTGTTTGTTTTTCGCAGCGTTTTTCACTTGTAGCAGTCTGACGTCGGAATTTTCCATGTTGAAATTAAGATAAGGTTTACCCTGCCTGGGAACACTATCGCCATGTTTTGTGTCTTTTAATGATTGTGTTAGTTAAAGCTAGACATTGACCCACTCTACCAAAATTTCCCCATTTTACCTTTTATTATTGCACTGAGATGCAAACCTACACTGTCACAGAAACCATGGGTCACCAGCCAGCTGCGGTAGACGACCTGTCCGGATTTTATGCTTCATATAGGGTTTATTACGCTTTTGTGTGTACCACGACAACATAGATATATGTCTCCATAGAACAAGCTCGGCAGAACTGATAATTCAGTGACAAAATTGAAGAAATATTTGCAACCAGATAATCCATGTTCACACCGTTGTTAAAAGACGACTAACAGCAAGTAGGGGGCCTACAGGATGATCAGCCGTATTCAAGGAAGATTTTTCATTGTTAAGTGAAAGAGCATCGCTCAGGTTTTGCATGCAAATTTGCTGGACCTCTAGCGAGTAGTCGAAACTGGTTGATTAGGTAGCGGGACAGCATTCAAGAAAAGAAGCCTTTAAGAAAACCTTTCTATTTTAGTGTGGAAACTGTAATAATCACGTCGCTTGAACTACGTTTAATAGGAAGAGAAACATTACGCAGCCAATGTGCATTGTATGGAGGTGCTTGACCCTTTATTGAAACAGAATCACATAACAAAGACAGAAATATCAAAGACAGATTCATGCAACTAAATTGAGCTCCGGTACAAAGTTTTTATCTAAATATCATACCCCCTAAAGTCAGTCAGCTATATTAGTTCATAGTTCTGTAGCGTTCAGAATTCATTTTAGCCTTTTTGAGGTTAATGAAAATCCACCGTATGGATGAAGCTCGAATTTCAAGTGTTATATCTATGTTTTATAGTTCGATTTAAATGAATATCTTCCGCCCGGTGTGACGAAAAGTGCGGTTTTTTCTCGAGCAAACTTGTTTTGTTTAATACCTAAATTGCTGATGTGGGAGCTCACTCGCTACATGTAATTTGTTCAACAATTGGATCATTCTATTACGATCTTTGTGAAATTTACTCGTGTTTTATCGACACTTGTATTTAACGGTTTGAAGTGCTGAACTTGTTTTATTCATCCGTGTATACTTTTAAATTGCATATATGTATCTAATCAAAGTTCCAGTAGGAAAAGAAGAGTATATCATTCGGTTGGATAACTATGACCATTCCCAAAGCCTTTTTACAGCCTTGACATCTTGGAGATTTAAATGTAGTTGGGACACACCTGTAATTCATGGCATTAGGCCACCTGCAGTGTAGAAATAAGGAGATAAGGAAAACAAAATCTCAAAATGAAGTTGTAAGTTATGTTTACGTGAAAGAATTATAATGAAGAATTTTGATGGCATTGTCACACGCTTTCAAACTTGTGTTATACTGTCAATAGCAAAGTTTTCCCAGTTGGTTGTATACATAGTGTATAACGTCAATTTTTTAATGGTAATGCCAAGTTATGACAGCTACTTACTCAATGGCAGGTGTTACGCACGGTCACTTTCCAGGATGCTTGTACTGGGTTCCCACCGAATCTGTCATTAAGCCCTGTATCCTTGATCTTGACGGTGTAGGTACCAGCATGGATTGTTTTCACATCAAGAATTTCAAAGGGGAGCTCGGCACATTGGACGGATGTTTCGGTAGAGAGTAGTTGATGCATTTTACCCGTGGAATCTTTCATCGTGACCGTGATTTGTACCGGCCCTCTGAAGGCTTCGTAAACCACCGCGAACCTGCGCTGTCCGCCTTTTCTCAAGCAGGTGTTGTTCGGCTTTGATCTTATGTAAGGATCTGAGAATAGAGAATACCAAAATGCTTTTAAAGTTTCATCCGCTTCTTTCTGAGTAATGTTCCTTTTGCTAGATGCAATCACTTAATGGCAGGCCTAACTTGTGTTGTGTCCCCTTAAGAGTTGAAGTTCCATTAATTTCACACACCTCCCTTGGCTTTCCATCTTAAGGTGTAGGAATAGATAATCGAATACGTACCATGCTGTACGGGTTCGTTTAGATGAGAATGCGGCACAGGCCACAGACCAGAGAAGATGATGCCTTCGTGTACTTCTTTTGCACAGCTGCCACCCATTCTTGTTGATTGTTGTACAGTTTGAACAACGCTTGAGTGTCTCGTGAGAAAGTATACGCTGATATGACCGTTTACTCACTTTGATACCGAATATATTTAGAAATGTTATGAAGTTTAAAGGTCGTGTCAACCTTAAATCAGGGGTCTCGTGGATTAAGGGGCAGATGAAGGTGATTGTTTATTGTCTTTATTACTATTTGGAATTATTATTTTTCTGAATACGAGCAAATAAATTTCAGTTACTGCGGAAGGGGGAATTAAGGAAAGCACGTAGCAGTAAGAAAAGTCATGACTCTTTTTATTTCATGTTTGATCCAGCCGAACCCCCCTTCCAAAGTCAAATAGAATATGCTTGAATTTGCCTGCTTAACGTAATAGGAAATACCCTCCTAGATATTCACTCACACTTGTGGTTATTGCAACCAGAATTCATCTGTTTCTGGAAATGCACCGCTTATCATCACTTTTGAACCAAAACTAAAATTTTGCATATTTAATCCTTTGAGTAATGTCATAATACAATGTGCTATTCTACAGAACACCAATATGAGAGAAGAAATGTTGGAGATGTTAGGAACAGCTTGCTGTATTTTTATGCGGGGGTGTATCTGCGGTTGTGGCCTTGTGGGTTTTTTTTTTGTTTTTTGTTTTTTGGTGTGGTTCTTTTAGGCCAGGAAGTTGCTTGTTTTCTATGCGCTTCTCCCGTGTGTGTGTAGTATCTGTGCATTCCACTTTCGACAGCATCGCTAGCCGTGAGTCAAACTCTTCGGAACTTGCACACGTTGTTCCTAGTGCAGCTCTTTGTGAGTGAAATTTAACCGTTTATAGAGACGATAAAATGGCCGATAACGATGCACTGACATCGGGCTCGGGTGGGCAAGGAGCCACTGGGAGCGTACCGGCTGGTGGCTCGCTGCTCGGTACCAAACCTTCAACGGCTTCGCGTGTAAGGGAAGTAGGCGAGAAAGACGACGGTATGACGGTGAAGAATCCGCAGGTTATGGAAGATTACAGGAAAGGTAACTCGCTCTTGTAATCTAATTGGTTTCATTGAGGGAAACTGTCACGGATGAAGGCCTGAAGCTGACGTTTTCCCCTGATAATGTGGTCTTGCAAAAAGTGCACAAAAATCTCAGCAGCAAATGCAAATGGCGGCCTACCGGATCTCACGCCCACAGGATTTTCTTGGCTGTTTATGTTGTTGTTTGTGGGCCCTCGTCTCAAAAGTGATGCGGATTCCAAAGACCCAGTAACGATTAACGAATCCCCGGTCTCAGTGAATACTGAGTGCGTTGTTACCTTTTGTCATCGATAGTAAGTGTCTTGCATAGCAGCGACGAACATGAGGTTAGTCAGGAGAGTAAACCTGTGAGTTTTGTGCAGTGCATGGCTCCGGTTGTAAGAATTATTTCTGATAAGCAACGACAAGACTGAGCTTGATCTCCTTTTGTGCTTTGTCTTTTAGGTCGAGTTTTCGTCGAGTGTTTACTATTTTTTTCAAACATCCACTTGTGACTTTCTGTTTAGACCATGTCACGAAGTCTGACTTTTCAGCTTATTCATAGTTGAAGCAGTACCACATCCGTGTACGAGAATCCGCGTTCATTTCAATATATTTATCTACTCTCCAAAAACGAGAAGGAAACTATGTGCTTGTATATTGGGTCAGATTATCTTGACAGGTTGATTTCTAAACCTCCTAACGTAAGCTTCACAGTCATCCATATTGTTGTGCAAAGACATGTAACTTTGACCTTTGAACTAGACCTATTGATCTGGCACAGAGGCTCACGGTGCTGTTTTTTTTGTTCTGAGAATTATGCATACGGATAGAAAGGTCATGTTTGTTGCCCCGTACACAGACTGGCCTGCTGATGACGCCCTCAACAGTATCCAGGGTGTCATGAAAGTTTTGATACCGAGTTAGAATTGTGATATTTTCCCCTGCCAGCACTGATTGTATTATGTAAACTTAAAATGTAATTAACCGGTGGTAGGGCGTCCACAGAATGGCCAGAAATCACGTGTTATATTCGTTCCACCAAACGCAATACGTGACCTAATCTACATCCCGTAACTTCTTCTAACTATCCCTGCTGCTACTTTTGGAGGGGTGTCAATCATGAGGTCATGGGTCATTCACTGAAGCAGGGCGGGCCAAACCTTTATTCCATATGTTTTTGTACAAAATGATGCTCCCATATGTTTGTACACTGAATCCCTACTGCCACGTGCCTGCTGCGTGTTTGTGAAGAAAATACCCTCTCCCCTCTTGTAAACGCGGATAATTCCCCTGCCATGTGTGTGACATAATATGTGTGTTTGTGCAGAAAATACCCTCTCCCCTCTTGTAAAATTGAAGCAGGCCATTGAAGCAGGGCAACGAGTCACCGCTTGCTATTATTATTAGTGTGTCTGGAGCTTGTCGCTGGCGTCGACCACAGATAGTTTGTTGACCTCTGTTTCGCCTTGTGACGAATAGGGCGAGCCACTGATTGGATTGGCGTTGACCATGTGGAGAAAAGTAATTATGTTAATTACCATTCACACATCCTGAGGTTTATTTTTCTCCAATTTTTTAGTGATTCATTGAATTTTTCTGTTTCAAATTTAAGTACGAATTGTTGCATTTTCTTGGGGTTTTTTAGGGGGAGGAGGCAGGGATGAGTGATAGGGCTGGTGATGCCTAGAATTCTGTGGTTTGTTGGTTACTTGTTTACTTTTTGTCTTTATTGAAATAAATTGATCAGAGAAATGCTTTTTATTACATTTTTATTACATTATTATAGTTTTCAGATTGACCAAGGTCCTGCACTACTTTTAAAATGCCCCCCTGCGCCAAACATGAACCACACCCCAAAAAGAATATCCCCCCAAATGACATACACAGTCCTGCCTAAGAAGGTTTCCATCTTTTTTCAGATTGACCAAGGTCCTGCGCTACTTTCAAAATACCCCCCCCCCCGCCGAACACAAACTACGCCCCCAAAAAGGAATATTTCCCCCCAAATGTCACACACAGTCCTGCCTAAGAAAGTTTCCGTCGTTTTTCAGAAAGAAGTGGAATAATGTAATTTATAAGTCCTATGGAGCACAAAATAGAATTGACACTTTGCCCGTTTCGTTTTCCATCTGATATACTGCCACTTCGGGTATCTGTCACCGTAGATTTATTTTAAATCCCAAGCCCTTCCATCATGGACTTCCATTTTTAAAAAAAGCCGATAACGTGGATACAGTGAATGTACTCTCGACCTTGCGCACCGAGGGCAGATTTTATTTCACAGTGAAGTATTACTTTATTTCAGTAGCCCACAGTGTCACCACTCCATGGCTAAGGCTATGTACGAAAGTTATGACTTCAACTTGAAAAGTGGCACGTGCAGCATTTTTTGAAGTCTCTTTGTAATTTTGTCTTTGTATAGGTGTGTCAACACATCTAAACCATTATGTAATAGTCATTACATTTATTCATCATATTGGACTTCACTTGCTGTTATCCACCGCACTTTGATCAGGTTTAGTGTTTGGAGATTTTTTCGCATCGTGCGATCTTTGCATTTAAAAAACTGTTTGGTCAGAAAGCAATTTGATAATAGCTTTTAAACCTCAAAATGGTATCATAAGTATTAAAAAGATTGAAAGAAATAACTAAGAAAGTGGGTTTGCCACTGAGGAAATGATTTGATTGCATATAGTTGAGTCCCGCCAGCAAACCTCGGTCAAGTCCACCCCCCCATCACAGGATCCGAATCAGCGGACTCCAATCCAAAGTCCAACGAAGTCGCAAGGCTGGGACCAGGCAGCACTGTAGAGGTGCAGTCAATAATAATATATTACATTTTTATATAAAAACGAAACCAAAGTTGTTTACTATAGGATCTCTGTTGGAACGCTGTATGTTTTTTATGGTATATTTGCAGGAAAACAAACGATTTTAAGCTTATTCACCAACTCAAAGTTCAACATCTACAAATGCAAACTGTGAGTGTCGTAATGCTAGACTGAATTCTTTTGAGGATGAACTAGTCTCCAAGTTACTCGTCCAGAAAATGTTCAACCTGTCTGGAAACCTCAGACACGTCGCAAACGTTGGACTATTTAAGTCGGATTAAGTCAATCCTACCTGAATTCGAGACCGTCTTCCTTAGTTAATGCAGACTTTGCAGGAGGTCCTCACGGGGTTGATGCCATTCCTCTCGTTCATCTCTTGATCGAGTATGGTGACTTCGTAATTGTTATCCAGATGCCTCTGAAGCCACAGGCTACTCAATTCAAGTTCGGTTCTTGACCACCGGCAACAATCTGTTATCGTCTCTAGGATATTGCCATCAACTTTCCATGTTATGGTGACAGGATGGTTTGCTGCGAATTTGACTGATAGGACCACAGGCCGATAGGTGGTTTTATTACGGTTGTGCAGATTGCCAACCTCCGGCCCTTTAACAGAAAAATAGAACGAGTACAGGTACACATTTCTACCTGTTGACAGTGCCACGGCTGCTGTTTCGATTTCTGTGAACGCAGCCATAGTTTCTGGAGTATGACTAAGAAAACACAAAGTATTACCCAGAAATTTTTGAAATCATTCAACGACTCATACCTGATTCTACTACATCCCGTTGGGAGTAGGGTGTCAGTCTTTCATCGGGGACTGCCAGTGTCCATCCTTCTTCGACATCACGCATCTTTCGCATACTGGTGTTACCTTGTTGTCTTCTTGCACTAAATAACGTACTCTGATTCTCTCTGTGATGGTACTTCTGTTGAACTCTGTTTGCGGCTGTCAACTGCTGCCCTACCCAGTTTGTGCAATTCCCGTCCTGGTTTTCTTTGTGTCTGTTTTTGGCTTCCCCTTTGTGCTGAATGGATGATTCCCAAATTATAATAATACCCGCCTCTACTTTTCATGTGCATTTATGTCACTCATAATAATATGTAATTCCCCTTAGATCATACATGTGCCGAAAGTTGCATAAGGTTGCTGTTTTTGTTGATGATGTAAGTATTTTGTAATATTTCCGGTACTACTTGTACATCAGATATATACATGTACATGTTGAAATCTTCATATCGTTTTTACCATGAGTGAGAAAGCTGGCCAATACCATGTTTCATTATTTCTTAATGGCATGACCCCAGTGTCGTTGAATTTCCCAAATTTTTTCTCACCTTTATCATTACATAGAGACGTATACGTACTCTGTCACAGAAAGCATGGGTCAGCAGTTGTCGATTTGTCAGGATTTTATGCCACAGGTGCATGGAAGTGGCCGAACGTCTCTTAAACTAGCTGGGCTAGACTGATGTTAATTTTGGGGCCGTTAAGGTGTTTTCTTCACAATATGACAATCCAAGTTCACGTAGTCGGTAAAACTTGACTGACTGCAGGAAATAAATATATAAGAATAGACGACAATTTTGCATTGTTGCTTGAAGGTCTTTGGCGAAGTGACGCTTATACATTTGCCAAACTGAAATGTATGAAAGATGTGTGTACATGTAGTCGAAACTGGTATATCAGACACCTTGAGACAAATTCATGGCCATTACCCATCACGAAAAACATTTTATTTCAAATGCGGTTGTTGTGTGGTAGTGCTGTTACAGTCCTATGGTTCGGGTATTTACGTCAGGAATAAACAAGTTGATTTGAAAAGCTGTAGTTCCCTACCGTACTTTGTAGTTTTGCTGAGGTTCCTGCCCTTTAAACAAAGAAAATCGCGGGACAAAGATTGCTTGAAAGATTATACAGACTGGAAAAGAAAACTCGAAACTTTCAAAATAGCTTTTTCTTTTCATTATGATTTGCTCCTATATTTGTCAATCATTTTAAACCAAAATAAAAAGAAAAATTGGTTATGCACTACCAATATATTTCAATTTTAAAAAATTAGATTGTTAGAGGAAGCTCAAGTTAGTAATATATATTTCAGGTATCAGAGAGATATCATGTACATATCATCCCTATCCTGTCACCACAGCCCCAAAATTGCAAAGGTGCAGTGATCTACATTCCATTATTGAAGCTCCGTAATTTTTTTCAATTGTGACGCTAATTTTAACAACTTGATCGTCTTTGAAATTTGGAGTAGGTGTAATATTTTCCGTAACAGTATTTTTCATAATTCGACGGACGTTACCATAGAAGGGACTAGGTATGGAGGTTGGGAATAATGGCGTTCTTTTGGTGCAACTGTTGCACATTTACTTGGGTAAATTACAGCATTTTTGTCCATGAAGATGGAGTTTGTTGTTCAAGTGGACATTGTAAGTCTTGGTATGTCATATGCTGCACCGTTTTGCAGACGTGCTTGCTCTCAGATCTCAAATGTAAAGTGCGTAGTCACATCACCTGCATTGAAAGGAAAAATGGTAAACATAAGCTTCAGATAACATTATTCAAGGTAGTTAGTTGTAGATGGTTTGAGAAGTACTCACTGAAAACAGCTGTCCTACCTTAACCTTCCATGAAGCCTGTGCTGGATTGGCCGACCTTCTTGTGCTGCGTGATTCGTCCTTGATTTTGATTTTGTAGGTGCCATCGTGTTGTTTTTGTGCACGGTCAATTTGTAGGATGATCTCTGCACATCGGCTGATCGTTTCAAAAGAAAGTAGATCTGTTCCATTGTTCTTCTCAACCGTGATTTCTACTGGCCCATTGAAGGCTTGATAAGCTACCTTGAAGTCATGTGACATGCCAACCGACAAACTCACATCTTCGGGTCGTGATGTAATATCAGGATCTGAAAGGAAAGAACACGATAATGTTTTGAAATTTATACTTTAATGTAGTGCGGTCAGTTGGCCTATTTACATAAATCCACGTTTGTATTGAGTTGCAGCTGTGTTCCCCAATTCTCTCGACAAGTATTCTGGCAGTACATGTACGAGCTTGCTTTGTTGGTTATGTCGGAGCTGGCCTATCCAGAAATGGTTCATGTTGCTTTCTAGATAAAGAAACCTCTCCATGAGAAAAAACACATGTTCTCCTATCCTTCAATGTGTCTGCAGTCTGTGACATACCATGGTCTGTAGTTTCCCGACGAACAGTTGACGGCTGTAGCGATTTTAAATAAATGGGACCCTGAGCTGGCTCACTGGTTGTGTTACCCATTCTTGGTGAATGTGTTTTTCTGAAGATAGCTGACATCGATAAGAACTGTTCGCATTTACTAACTGGGGTATTTATATCTAACATCTAATTCGCAAGTCACTGGGCGCATCAATTCAAAATGGGACGAGGGCGGTCGTTTTGATGTAGGGGTAAATGTCGGTAATAGTTCATTGTCTTTATTGTCTTTTTGAATGTTTCTACATATAATTATAAATCAACACAAGGGAAGAGATATAAAATATTAAAAACCTGTGATCAGACACAATAAATATCTCCGGATCTCAATGTTTTGATGCAACCTCACCCCTCTTCTAACGTCAAATGGAAAAGGCTTGATCACGCCTCGTTTACGTAATGGGAAATATCCCCATCTTGGCATCTGTGTGGTGTATGTATACTATTACTGTTGTACGCATTCATCATGACGTTTGTCTCTTTTGTATCCTGCATATAGGGTTTGTAGAAGGATCAATAACCTGGGTTTTTTGGTGTTTAATTTTCTATGCATTTTGAAATAAAGAGTTTTGAATAAACATGTTCTCTTGGTACTATCTGGATGCAGTAATATTGCAGCCAGAATGCCACTTTTGCTGAAAATCATTGCTTGGCCTATTTATCATCTGATCAGTTAAACCAGAGATTACGAATTGTACAGGAACCTTTGCGTAATGTCTTATTTCACGTTATATTCAGTGCCTGTGTGCTCTGTTAAAACACATGAACAAGGGTTTGGGAAAGAATGTGTTGGATTTATATGCGGGGTGTTTCTATGGCCCTGGTGTTATGAAGCAGCAACTCTTGTGGGTCAGGGAGTTGCTTGTTGTACTATCTGTGCATTCCATTTCGACAACAGTACTAGCCCTGTTTCAAGCGCTTCGAAACGCGCACGTGTTGTGCCCCTACATTTCTTTGTGTGTGAATATCCACAGATAATGTGTTGTGTTGTGTGGAAACTTATTTCGGAGCAAACGGTTGCAGTAGCACTTCTAAATAATTATAAGGAACCCACTATACATGTATCTTGGGCCAGATCATCTCGGCAGATTTATTTTATTTGTAACTTAAACCTCTCATTTATCCATGTTGTGCAAAGACATGTCACGTTAGTTGACCTTTTAACTCAACACCTATTGATCTGGCTTGTACATGTACACGAATGTCTTTGTGTTGTAAATTATGCATACAAATGAATAGGCTGTGCGTGTGTCTCGTACACAGACTGGTCAGGTGATGGCGCCCTGCATACTGTGCAGTGTGTCATGAAGGCTTGGATTTTGAGGTGGAATTGTGATCCCCGTGTTGATGCTATTGTGCAACTCAAAGCATAGTTTAATGCGTTTATGCCAATTTGGGAAGTATGCCAAGTTGTCTGTCATTGCAAATTTATTCAGCTTCTAAATCCTTCCATTTTTGGTTCCAGTGTACAACGCCAGTAATCGACGTTCAACGAATGTACTCTTTGCCCTGTGCATTGAGACCAGGGTTAATTACAATGCAGTGTAAGTTTGTTTCTGACATGAGCCGCACCGGTGGCCCTCATTATTACTATTCCATGGCTATTCCAAAGCTATGGCTCCAGCTTGAAATAGCAAGTGTGCCAGTGGAATGAAGCCACTTGCCAATGCCTAGAGCCACATCCCGTAGATGCATGTGCTAACCAAAGCCGTAGCCAAGTGCCCTAGGCCTAGGCACTGTCTAAGATCTCTAACCATGACTTCTTTTTCATTTTACAGCTCTTGAGAAGCAGAAACGTGAGAAGTCTGGTACTGAAGGAGCACAGGGTGAAGAGACAGCCGGGGATGAAACAAAAGGCAAAGGGGCTGCTAAACAATAGAGGCCACTGCGTCGCCTTGTTCCTTGAAAAAAATGCTCTTCCCACTGGAACCAACAGGAACTTGATATTGCACATCGGTGCTGCAGAAAAATTGAATAAAAACCAGGGTACCAGCGAATCCATAAATTTGCTGTTCAAGTAATTATTTGTGAGTTAATTTTCTTTTTCTGGAAGTATTTGTTTCTCAGATACTGTGACTGTTTTGTACTGGAGTTGGAAGCGCATTCAGATGTTCATTCACTTCAAAAAGGAGACTTTTTCTGCAACAGGAAAGTTTCTCATTTTACTTGCCCTTTTCCACCATAACCAACTTACGTATAGATACCAATTCGAAGCTGGTAGTTACATCACACTTTCGTAGTACATGTACAATGTATTGGTGTTAATGTTGTATCATTTGATGATTACAGTTCATTACATTTTCAATGCTAGTTACGCGATTAATTGCAGCATTTTTAGAAGTCTCCTTTTAAGTTTGTCTTTGTTAAAGTATATCACTACATCTAAACCGTTATGTAATAGCCATCAAGTTTGTTAATCATATTGGGCCTTACCTATTGTTATCCACCTCACTATGATCAGGTGTAGTGTTCAGAGAATTTTCGTTTAATCATGTGAACTTTACACTTTTAAGATAGTCAGTGTTTGGTTTAAAGCAGTGAAACTTGACAATAGGGAATTCAGCATCGTTTAATCACAAGTATTTTCTTTAAATCGAAAGCATTAATTAACATAAGGTAACTACAAGCGAATGCTGTTGGCTAATGAGAATATGTTTGATGGGTTATTGTCGGAGAAACTGCAAGAGATGAGAGAGGTGTCTGTGTCTGTGATTGGCTAGCTCAGTGGAACTTTATGTATCTATGCAAATGATATGCAAATTCAGATTGTTCAACTAGCAGTAATTGTAGCTGTGTTGACAGCGTAATTTTAATTGTTTGGCATTGGAAAAGTTCTTTCTTTATCTCCGTATTTACGTTGTAAAAGAGCACCTCTTTTTTTCAATTTAGTTGACCGAGTGTCGTTATTTGCCAATCAACGTTACTTGTGTAATCATCAAATTTACAGAATGCAAAAGTGCCTACTTAATAAAACAAACTTTGCTTGTTCACTGTTTTATTAACTAGACTCAAACTACATTTATGCCGTAGTAAATACAGACGTAGCATTAAATTGGTTACAGTGTACGAGTTGGTCAGAAGATTGCATTGTTCTAAATTGTTATTGCCAAATCTAAAAGAAACTTTTTGTTTGCAACATTAAATGCAGCTGAAAGAACACTGAAAAAGCTCCACAGCACCTTACAGCTTTACATGTATTCTACAAGTCGGAGAAAAAATTGGCCTAAAAACTAACAGTCACGTATTCCGCTGTTTGGTGTTCACCCACACCTATCCACCTGAGCAGAAGCACCGGTTGAAAAGCGCAATGTTGGTCGGGTGTTCATTTTGTTGGTAGTAAAGCGACTGCAATGTTAGCGCTTCATAGTCGTTCGTGAACCAGTGATGTGCAATTACTATGAAAGGAACCGCCGTTGCTTTGAAAATTGCGCCCTCTCTAGGTGCAGCTCGAGGTCCATACCCACTCAGCACTCGTGAATCCCGAGCAGTGGATGTTCCTGATTGGTGCATTGCGCGTTGTTAATGTTATAAAGCTGCGAGAAACCAATTTCTGCGTAACTATTCATACAGTCTGTGTGGACACAAAGTGCTGAAGTCAAATAATTCAGACTTGTCGGCCGTCGTCTTTTGAGTCGAGAAGTTTTGAAATTCGAAGTTATCTTTCCATCAAATTATTATTTCAAATGTGTTCGCCATGAGTCCTCCAGTAACCATTCAGCCGAGTCCCCATTCACCGGGCAAGACAGAGATGCGATGGCTCAGCAGATCTCTTTCCGACGGGGAGCAGGGGATTCCAGGCGGTAAAGGACAGGGCAGAATTTACGATGGGTTTGAAGCCCTTCAACATACAGACAAGGTGGTGGTACAGCAAACGATAGAAACAGTTGGTGAGTTTTCCTTGTGTCAAAAAATCATTTTTTCTGCGGAAACAAAAGGCAGACGATCAAAAACTGAAGATTCAAATCAAAATCCACAAAATCAGTATCATGACTTTCGAAATATTGAAACCAACATTGGTACTTTTTTTGTAATGTGAAGAAGTACTCAATTATTTGAGTAAGCTGTAATATAAAGAGCAAAATGGTTCCCAACTGTTAACCACCTAGTCGTTCGCTGTGTTTTTACTCTAACTTTGAAACAAAATATAATTATAGCATTTTAACCCTGCGTAGAGGGAGTAACACATTTCGTCGTTTCAGTTTTAATTTTGTGTGTTTGGGCATTCCTTGGCCCATGGAGATTGTCGTGTGGTAACTGTGTTTACTTTATAGTGACCTCGAATTCAATAGTCGTACATATATATTTATTTGCATTTTCCGTATTAACCAATAACCCAACCACTGTGTTTCTGAATAGCATGCACTCCATTTCTCTCAGTCTTGCGATGTATAGCGAATGACTTGCCTAGCTAGGTTCAGAATGTATACAGACTTAAGTTTCTTTTCGGTTTTCATGGAAGACGTTTTTGCGTTCACTTTAAAAATCAGGGGCCAGCTGTGACGTCACTAATACATATTCGTTGACAGACAAGGAGAGCGAGCAGCTATTTCTGGCGATAGAAGGTAAGGAGAATATGGTGAGAAGAGACATTTTAAACATGCGTTTTCGAAAAATCATGTTGAACGGGCCCCCTTTTTTGGTGATAAAACCGCCTTTAGCCTAAATATAATGAAAAAGATTTAAAGAAATTATACGGCATACAGTTTTGGTAAGGCCAAGTGCTGTTGTCCTGTCATTTTTGCAACAAGCTGCTGTCACTCGCATCCCCCCTCTGCGGTTTCCTTACAGATGCATCCTGCTGTGGGCGTTTCTGCTGTGGTCCTGCCCGCCCCCTGCGCCTCGTTCTCAGGGATAGACGAGGCAATGATGTCGTCCACTTTGTGCGCCCTCCTCGGTGCGATGCCTGTTGTTGTCCATGTTGCATGATGGGAATCATGGTTCAGACACCAGGTGGCGAAATTATTGGATACGTCAAACAAACGTAAGATGAAGTTTCAACATTCTCAAATTAGTGTTAAATAAACCAAAAAAAAGTAATCAATCAGCGACATAAGTGGAAATAACAACAAAGGGAAGATAGGATTCATCCATCCCATTATAAGCGTTGGGAATCATAAGATGATTTGTAGGCCTACTTTATATTTTACTATTAGTACAAGTCAAGATCGAGTCCAATAAATACTGTTTTCAACTGAATGCCTGAAAGGTCTAAAACTGAAAACTGCCTGTTTTATTATCCAACACCAGTTGGAGCCTGTTTGGAGCCGCTTTCAAGATAGAGGATGCCGACAAGACGCCGTTGATGACTCTGTGGACCTCCTGCTGTCCCTGTCGGTGTGAAACAGACCTAGAAATACAGGTACGTCGGGTCTATAGCTGCATCGATGTAGCCTTAAGCATGTTTTCAATGGATTACATGAACAGGCGTGCATTTATTACGTGACGCCCGCTATATGCCTTCCGACTTGTATTTGTTATGATTCTAAATTTGTAATCTAACTAATAATTGTGCCTAGGTTTGGAAGATTTCTGATGGTCGATCCGGGCTTATTCGCAAACAGTGGGGAGGAAGGAAGCAAGATATTAACATGGATCACGAAACATTCATCATAGAGTGTGAGTACATGTACAATAACACCCATGAGCTAACAATTCATTATTCTTAGCCAGTTTACTTACATAGCTTATTCAATAGTGTCATTAGTGGTTAGTGGTGTGGATAGAGCAATGTACTCCCAGTACACCTGTCCAGTCATTTCCTTGATATCCTTATAACTTCTTGTTGCTATAGTTCCTCCAGAATGTGATACCGAAAGTAAGATACTCCTCATCGGTGCAGCATTCCTAATGGTAGGTGTTTATCCATTATTACCCATAAGTTAATATTTCGAAAGAATGTTCCACCAGTAGTTTTAAGGGTTGGAAGTTGTTGTTCATTTAATGAGTATTATTTGGACTGGTTACAAAACATAGCACGCACACCAATTCAAATGAAAATCACAGGCACAGATTTTATTTTATTTCATTGCGATTCATTTCACCAAAAGATCAAACAGCATGTCCTAATACCGACAATGTCTGATTTACATTCACTTATGATCAAACGAGCATTAAAAGTTACAAAATATGCTCGTTGCCGGGGTATTGTTTTAAAATATAGCTTTATTTTTAATTTCAAAATATCAGTCAGTCACTTAATGATAGAATGAAAAATTGTGAAATAAATTTAATGTCATTAACACTTTCCTAATGCACAACATGGTTACAATAATGACTTAATATGATATAAATGATTTAATTAAAGTAGATCGTGATGTATCCACATTATGACATCAAAGATTTGCACACAGAAGCGAAAAATATTCCTAGTCCCATTATAATAATTCCCACATCCGACAAACAAGTACAAGAAAGCAATAATATAAAGGCATCTTGGAACAAAAACTAACGCAAGATTCTAATACAGTGTTTGATACTTTTGCTTATACATAAGTATACCTACATAGCTTTAATTAGATTTGATTTGCTCAAAGGAATGAAAAAGGTGATTATTATTCGTATTAAGTGATCCATATTTTCCTTTACACATATCGCACACTTTAACCATTTCCACAGATATTTATAAATGGTTACGCTTAAGTGATTGAAACCGGTGAATTATCATTGATAATTCATATTGAATTTTGTCCCTTAACATTAATACGCGATAATCATTTCCGAGCATTTTATATGCTTAAATGGGTGAAACAATTTATTTATTTTATTTTATTATTTTATTTATATATTATTATTTATTTCTATGGTTGAACATTGAATCAGCCAAATTTCCCTTCGCTTATATAATATATGACCATCAGTTCTACAGATACGAACACCTTTCTCTTTGCCAAATGTCCCAATTAGAATTGCCAATACATGTATCTTCCGCATGGTCGTACCATCAGAAGTAAAAGCACTTGCTCAAAAGCAAAATTCAATTTCTCGTTTGAAGCAAAAGGCATAAATGGCGAGAAATAAAGGTAAGCTCGTGGTTAGTATCCTTCCATCGGATTGGCGCTGTTCTAGCAGTATCCAGGAGAAATTAAAATGAGACACAAATTATGAAAACACGTGCAATAATGCCCCTTGTCCCTGGACATATGGGGTCGTTAAATGTTTGACGTAGTCTGCACGTGTATAAAAACCACCATCATGGATTATGTAACATTAATGGCGTAGCTGGATACTGGCGCGAATAAGCTGAAGGTCACCTCAAAAGCATTTTTTAGCTAATTTGCCTGGAGAATACCCAAGGCAAAGCTATCGCGTGACTATTTTACACGAAATGTATAAATGAAGTCTAAATTCGGTAATTTTTTTTGAAATGGTGCTATATGTTGCGTTAAAATTGTATGTCCCCAAAAATGAGTTCCCATGTTTCGATATCCTATCAGCTGGCGTGCCCCAAGCTGAAACGCCTACTTTGTTACGGGCGCATGGCTACCGCTATCCAAGGGGAAAATCGTGAATTCCCAGGTATAATATAGTTTTAAGTCTTTCTTATACCACATTGTCAAGCAGTCCTGCCCTGGTGTGTTTGGGCCGAGAGTCTTAATTAAGACAACGGTTTTTGAGATTGTTCGGGACAGGGCATTACTCGTGAACAATTTGTGTCGGTGTGCGCGACTGTACTTGCAGTGTCACTATTTCTGATGTTGCACCTTCTGATTGTCTAGGTGGCATTGTGTTTGAATGCTGCGCTTTCCTTTCAGTCGATCGTCGTGGTGCTTTGTGTTACTGATCTGAAAAATAATACTGAAGTTAAAACTTGCAAGAAGCTGTTCAGTGTCAACTGTTGAAAATGAATTTGACAGCGCGCATGCTCTGTTAGAAGCAGTGAGCCTGTTAGAAGCAGTCTTACCTACTAATGAGGTCATGCGAAGCTTTCCATCTCGAGGGATCACTAGTCTGTTTCGACCATAGGACACTCCTCGATGTCCTCCAGGACGATGTCGCAGATTTCTCGTCTTGGCTTACAGGATTTGTGGTGTCGGGCACGGGGGACAGCAGGCACCTTCTTCTCAGGGAGGAAGTTGTGGCAAGATGGCGCCTCTTTCACCATGATGAACCGAGCTTTCACCACACTGTGTACCAAAATAGCCATGAAATGTCTTTAAATTCGATACGCTCTATTAAGATGGATCAACGTAAAATTACAGGAAACAAAGATGATACTGTCAATTTTCTCGTGAGAAAACCTTTAAGTTTCAGCAAGCCATATGACTTACTTGTGAGTTTCAGCAACTTGGTATTGGCAAGACTTCTTGATGGTAGGGAGACTGAGCTGATGATCTTCCGGCATAGCAACCGTGTCCACACCTGGTTGTCGTTCGCTGCGGATCAGGTCCTTTTGGTCGTTCGGTTGACTGCCCGGTTCACGCCCTTTATTAATGGCAAGTGTAGATGCTTTGACTTGGTCTGACCAAGACTTTTCAATTACAGCGGCTGGCTCAACTTCCATTCTTTTGGTATATGAGAAGAAAGAGCAACAGTGGTTAATATGGTGAAATGATATGGGCACTGGTCATTGTTTTTGGTGCAAAGAAAGCGTTTGCTCCCGAATCTCTTGGATGGACATCTATATCGTTTGCTTACTTCTTGGAGCGGTCTTTCTTCGTCATCTTGCTGCCGGGATTTTTGGCCTTCTTGACCGTTGTCTCCTTAGGAGCATGGTCCCCAGACGACTTGTTATCAATCTTGTTACCCGGCGGCCCATCGTTTATGTGACGTCGAAACAGACGCCTGATAAATCCAAACACCAGACCATCCCTGACCTACAAATAAATTTCAGTTTGTTTATATGTGAGTTGTTCGTATTAATTAAATTTTGCATCAAGAGTTCATTGAACTGTGAATGTGAATTTCGGTTATTATGGTGGAAGATATAATTATTTCCAATTAATTATGTACGTAATTTATTTGATGGTACCCATTGATGCAGGATATTGCTGCAAGAGTAAATTCTACAACATTTGAGCTGCAAGAGTAAATTCTACAACATTTGACACTGAGCCAAACGATTATGGCCAATACACAGAACATCGAAGCCGTGGTGCAGTCAAATTACAGTTTTTGTCACCTGTTTTGATACCGGTGGCCAATCTTGATTGCACTTTCTGGCAGTGGCCTTTTCCTTGGCCTTGACAGTGGCCCTGGCAGCTGCTGTTGGTCTGTTGTTCTTTATCGAGAATCCAAGGGTATTTTTGGCCGAGACTGAGATTGGGATGGGCGCTGGGAATGGGCAAGGGCCGATTGCCTTGTTTGATGCTCTATTTCTTCAGGAGACAGAGTAAACAAATGTGACGGTATATCCTACTTGTAAAATTATCGATCGAGCGTAATGTCAGCGTATCAATATATTTCCTGTGTAATTTTAATGCCAAAGAAATGACAGAAAATATCTCACCTAAATTAAGGTATCATATACTTCCCTTTTATTGGGAGATGTTGGTTGATGCTAAATTTATCATTTTATTAGTATATTAATGTTTAATATACTTCAAAGTGTGTTTTGATAAGGACTGCAATTTATTTTTGTTGCGTAACTTCCCTTATATTGGACTACGCCAGAATAATTCTGAACTCCGATCTTACATTTATTTGGAGTTCATCAGAACTGGCCGAAAAAGTTGGGATTATTGGGTATGTACAGGTGTAAATACGTGAAAGTGTTTCCTCAAATTAAATCGACCTAAACCCTCGTAGCACCCACTGGTCACTGGGTAGAATTTCCCGCCAGCCGTGCCTGCGGTATTTCTCTTCGGGATAGCCGATCGGGTAAAAGTCGCTCGGGTCCGTGTGGAAAAGCAGAGCTCGCCACCCTCTCTCAACTTTCTTTCCACTTCGGCGTTTCGGCGTCCAGTGCAACTTTTCAAGGTCGTCAGGGTGGTTGAAGACTGCTGTCTTCTCACTACCGGCGCACAGTGACATCGTGTCAGAAATCTCTGAATATTATCTGCAAAAAGAAAAAGGGGGAGTTTTCCACTCGCGTCTCGACTGAGCACTACACGCCGGTCTTCGTGTACAAAACGCGTTTGTGTTGTTGGCGCGCGCTGCGTTGTGGTGACGTCATAAGGGTGATTTGCATGTTTGCGCGAAAGGCGCCCTCTGTCTGGCACACAGACAAAACTCTTTTAATATAATCCCATTTTCGAAAAAAAAAAAGCGCCACTTCATTACCACTGCGTGCACGTTAAAATGATTCACCTCATTTTTGCAAGTTTTTAGTTTTGCCAAACGCTCATATCGTTTATACACATTTCCTTTCAGGACTTCATGTTTTTTGAGATGACCTAAACTGGGCCGAGGCTGGCCGCAACATTCGGAATACTCTCGGCAGACCGTCATACAAGGAAAGGAGCTTTGACATCGCAGTTGAAAAGAAAGAATCGTCTCTTTTTCGTTTTAGTTATTCTTTGCTCAGAACGCGAGCCGTTTCTGCTAAGCAGGTCAGGCATTTATCTCTGGTGTCAGCAAAAACTCATTAGTCGTGTGTGATTAAGCTTAAAAATATCTTTATTTCCAACTCTTTAAAGATGGTTTGCTGCACCCTTTATTAATAAACGCGGAGAGGCAGCAGTAGGATGAGGGTTGGGGTTGATTACAATAAGGGAAAATGCCCAAATGAAGAGGAATAACCCCTTTTCACATCAGTATTACAGTTCAAATTATGACATACAATAAATTAAATGAAGGAAGACTACGAGAATTGATATATCAACACTAGGTTGGGACTTGGATTTGCAAACTTTTTTAATGAAGCACATCATAGTAGCTGCATTAAGTTCAATGTTCATGATGTTCATGACCCATCACGTGAGTCTCAAAATTCAAGGTGTTAAGCACAGCTGAGCTCCTTGCTACTGGGTGAATTTCTGAATATTGTAACGCTTAAAACATTAACCTTTAAGGTCTTTTTGTCTTATGAGGTGTCATGCAATTAAGTCGACCTACCATAGTAGGCATTATCAAAGAAAGCATGCAGAATAACTTTTTTCCAGTTCCGCAAAAATGTACGAGGAAAATAAGTAGCACAAAACAGTTACAATATGTAACAATGTAATTTTTGAAAGTACCAACTGTGCCTCAACATTCCACGAGTCGCTGCTCTTGTATGTGTTGGTATTCAGCAGTAACTAGATACATGTATTTGTGACTGTTTGGGAGATGAAACAGGCATCGTTTGAGGCAACTTCATCTGAGTTACATCCAAATGCATAACCAGATCACAGTTACAAATACAAAGGTGAATGGGTAAGAGGAGGGGGGGGACCTTCACTAAACTCTGTTGCCATTCTTTCCACTGTAAATAAATTCTGCCCAAGAGCCTGTGTGAATCCAAACCGTCCCTCTTCATGACTGCAGCAACTGGGTGGCCAAGCTGTTTGCCGACATCTCCAGTGCTACTTGGTGAAGATATCCGTATTTCTGAAGCTGGAGTTGTCTCTGTTAACAGGAAAAAGAGGAAATTTAGCACATGTTTATGCTTTACTGAAAGAACAATTTCTTGTTTTGCTCTGGTTTGTGCTGACGTATTTTAGTTTGAGCTGATGTGCCATAGCGATTTGAAATACGCTGGAAGTAATAACACTTGAACAAGTTTTGAGATGATCAATTTATTTACACAAAAGTGTTTAATAGTAGTTAGTGTTTTGTGAGAATAAATATGTAAGCAAACAATTAACGGTCCATAATAATTCCACCGGGTACTTTAAAGCTTAGGAAACTTTTGAAGTGCACTTCAAGCATTTTGAATAAGTTCATGGTTTCAAATAAATCTGGCTTAGACTGGATCTTACTTGATGCTGTCTGTGTGTGTCTTGTACTCCATGATGGTGTTTGGAGGAAGATTTAGAACCCTTCTGAGGGTGTCTCGGATGCGCAGGCTGATGGTCACGTCACTGGACGTTCTATTCCAGATTGAAATGATGTCCTCCTGCAAAGTTAGACACGAATTCCGAATGAAGCAGTCACAAACAAGTGGTGAGTACACGTTAGACAAGTGCCAGTTTCAAAAAAATGGCACAGAAAGTTATTATTTGGGGAAAGGACTTGAAAAGCCCATAATTCAAGAAGTGCAAGTAGGCTAACGAAGCACTCTTTGGCAGAGTCCAATAAATGTTAACCCTAGAAGAGGGTGACAGGTGAAGGCCAAAAACCTGGCTCTCTTGGGGTTACGATGTGATAATGGGCAAGAATGCCATATGAGAAAATGATATGTATTTGCAAAAAGAGACACGAAGAGTTGGCGCTGTGTAAACACTTCATATGAGAATCTATAAATTTGAGAGCTTAATATTAACTGGAAAACTCACAGCGAATCTGATGGACACAACAGCACCGCAGATTTCGTCTCCGACCATGAACTGTTCCCCTAGCATGGCCAAGATGAGGTTCTCCCACAGGCGCGAGGCCAAGCCTTTCCTCAGACGTACAATCCACTTGCCACCACTCTTGTTAGCCTCATCCTACATCAGGACAAGAATGAGGGAAGAAACTGTGACTGGGCGGGCGAGAATCAGAAGTAGGTTGCCAGTTGTGTTTCTGAGTGTACAAGTTGGAAAGGGAGAGTGTACTTATTTTTTAAATTTTCTTTAATTTACCTACTGCCAAAGTTTGTTTAATTCCTGTTATGAATTAAAGGAAAGGGGACAACCCAAGGGTTGAATAACCTTTAGTCTGCGTCCATTTGACCCGATTTTTAGAATACTTTTTTTTTCATCCAGTCAGCATTCACAATATAAACAAAGGTCTCTAAAACCCTTTCAGTCAAACAGCACGTATTTCTCCAACCTGTTTGAAATAGTACAAGGTAGAATAAGCCAAATGTGTCAGTGAGATTTGACTTTGCTGGTAATAAATACAGGGTCCTAAAAGGAAACTTTGGGTGTTGATCCACTCTCTCTGTAGGGTACGTTTTTTTTTACTGGCAGGTAGGAAAGTATGTGGACTGTCACCAAATGATTCACCATGGATATCATCAAATTTAAAACACTCCTACTGACGGTTTTGACTAGGGCCTACCTCCCACATTGGCTTGATGCCCTGCTTGAACAAATGGTAGTCGCTGCTGCTAGTCAAGTCACAGGGTCTAGCAAGATGTGTGTACAGGGCCCAGAACTGTTCGACCTGTAGACAAAAATGAAAGACATTCTGATAAATGGAATGCACAGATTTGGGTCAACCAAAATGGACGGAAAGACAATGGACAGGTGAATGAAATTCCAAGCACATGGTTAGCATATAGCACTGTTGACAATGACTTGTTCCCACAATCAATTTGCTCATCTTTTCATGGCATCTTTTCCTCTTTAACACTAAATCCCAGGGAAAAGAAAGACTTACTGATGCAAAGCAGCCTACTGTTTTGATGTTCTGTTCGTAGTTTGTGGATGATGCCTTGTTCCCTGGTGTCCGCTTGGAAAACCACATGCAATAGGAGTACTGTAGCTGGTGTTCACCCTGGCCTGGCTTGACCTTGGGCTGAGAGGAAATAAACCCTTGAAATGCTCTACATAGCACACTTTATTTTTTGGTATGGTTTTTGCCTCTGATGAATCTCAACTCCAATCATGCTTTTATAGCAAAATTCTAGAAGACACCAATCTTCTAGATCAGCATCCTGTGCACACTTTGGACCCGTTACACTTTGGACCCCTTTGGCCATTTGGACACCCTCTTCCAACAAATGATTCTGAAACCGTCCGTTTTTGTCTCAATATTTACAAACCATCCCCTGAAATCAGTCCAGAATTGGATTCGAATCGTTCATGAGGCTATCATTCATACAAATCCTTACATCTCCCAAGACAACACTTATTGAAATGTGGTGTGGTATTATGAAACCACCAGAGGGCTGAAAACATTCCATCCACTTCAATTTTATGTAGCCATGCCCTATTCAACTGGTTGTGGCTAGGAGTAACATACATGTGTATAGGAAGTAGCTGCAGCCACTAGCTGCTGACCTTCCATGGACAGACATGCTTGTTCTCAGACAAGGACACAGCTCATTACGTACATTTATCAAAGGAATACCAGAAATATTACCCCTAACCCTGCCAGACGCGGCACAGTCCATCAGGTGAGAAAGTCTGATGCATTTTGATGCACTTGGCAGTCAACAGCAGCGGAACAAACTGGTCGTGTTGAGACAGTGGAAGCTAGTCCCACTGAACAGTGTCACTGTTAGATCTTGTGGCAACTGGCAACCACAGACTCCCAGGCTGTTTGGCCTCAGGGAGAGTTGAACTGTTGGATCTTGTTATGCTCGGCAGGCAAGCCACTTTGACTACTGATGCAGTTTGATGTGTTTGGCAAGGTTTTAGCCAAAGCAGGCTAGGGGTTAGGGTAATGGATGGCAAAGGAAGAAACAATTTTTGGCAAGACAGATCAACAATGTCATTCATCTCACCCATACAAACTTGTCTGACTGATGGTCCTTGGATGCCTCGGTTTCTTCTTTCTCTTCACCACTATCCTCATCTTTCAACCTGTGAGGGAAATAATACACAAAATTCTATACTGCATATATACAATCTAATCAATCTTTCATGTCTAAAGGCCTATGATCGGGACCCTATGATCAAATCCTTGAACTGTGGGGTCGATGTCCACCCCACTCCCACGTGGAAGTAGGGAGGACGTCAGACCCCACAGTTCTGGGGGTATTACAATATCACTTGGTTTGTTAATTGAAACAGCATAGAGATAAACTGCAGGCCTTATGACTTTGGCTGTGCTGCATGGGGCCTAACTTAAACCATGGAGAAATTTTTCTCCATGCTTAAACGTGTTTACCTACACAACTCGAGATGAATACCTGACGGTTACCAGTTACTCAACTTACTGGTCTGTTTATAAATCAGGCCTAAAGAAAGTCCGGTTACTTACATGTCAAATTTATTTTTCATCCTCTTCTTTTCTATAAAAAATATACAATTTTAAAATCTATATAAAAAATTCAGCATGAAAAACGATAGAAATGTGACTGGAATGTGTTGAAACCAAGCATAAAGTTCATCGAATTCTTTGACTTCGGATCGGATCCGCTTCTAATATTGGTCTCGTTCAATAATAATGTTCAATAGTAATGTAATACATATTGTAATAAAATGTGTATTAAGTGAATTTGGAAATTTTTTACAGGAAATATTCAAGAAAACACCCTAATTAAAATCCTTAAAAATTTTAAGCATTTTTATTTGAGATACAATTGTTGTAAACAACTAAGATGTCAAACCTAATTTCATTAATTCTGAACGAGTACATTCAAAACCAACATGGCGGCGGCCAGTGTTTCTACTAAATCGAGGTTGTTGTCTTTAGTTGAAGAGGCGGAATGCCTCACGAAGTGAGTGTTATCTCTAAAGTTGGACGCTAAATTGTTCTTGTGTTGATGATCCTTACACATGTTTTAAAATAGATTTTAAGTTGCAAACGTATCGGAAGAAATATTTAGTAGTAGGCCTATCGTCAGAACTAGAACAT